CACTTAAAACATGGTCTCAAATGGCATCATTTTTACAGTGCAGATGCACCAAGATACATCCTAGGGCTGATCATCAGGGTGTTAAAACTATATTTCAAGATGCCAGTCTTGGCTCCTATCTGTCACTTCCGTACCGGGCACAGCTGCCGCTCAAGATAAGATTAAACTCTTCATCCAAACTAGTCACCCAAAGATTAAACTCCACTCCAGCTCTGAACTCTGCCCAGTTTGGCCCCTAGTCAGGAACTACCAAAGGGCATGGGGTGGAGTCTGGCAGTTGGAGTGGCGAGTCTACACTTTCCAACACTGCCCACTTTCGAGAGAGAGAGAGATTTTTCTAGAACTCAGCTCCCAAGAGGGCTCTGAAGCTGTGGCTAAGGCAGAGTCAAGACACTGCAGCAAGCGTGCCAAAAACTGCTGTTGTTAAAAAAAACAGAAAGCCTATCGTCCCCGCCAACAGGGAGGAGAACTGCAGATGGCTCTCCATTGCAGCCGCCTCCACCGATCCACCCACTAGATAGTACTTCCTCAGCCTCTGCTGAAAAACAAACAAACCCAGATATCTTAAATCTTGGTGGCTCTTTCATTTATCAACCCACTCCTAAGTGAGAACTCAAATCCTGACGCTTAGAGAAAAATAAGACAGCCAAACATAAAATTGCAAAGAATCCAGATTCATAAGGCTTAGTTCCCAGACACACAGAGGCCTCTGGGTGTAAATTAAAATGAACAATCAAAAGATATAGATTAGGAACAGAGCATGGACATTTTAGGGGTTGGGACTACAAATCCCAGAATACTTCAGCATCTTGGGGGGGATACTGGGAGCTGTAGTCCAAAACACTAACTCCCCCTTGTTCTGGATGGGGGTAATCAGCTGCCTTTGGAAACTAGATGCACAAGAGCAGATTGCTTTTTTAAAAGTTGGCAACCTCCAAGCTGAAAGAATCTACTCTTAGGAAACAATAGTGGGTGAAAGGAAAGCAGCACCTTAATACATACTATGCAACTTTGATCAACAGCTGCTTACAGGTTACTTATTTAACCCTCCTCCTCCCATGGTGGCAATCTCCAAATGTCTTGGGATTCCAGCTCCCATCAGAATCACCACCCAGGCTAGGGATGGTGGGAGTTGCAGTCCAATGTGATAAGAGTTTCCCATTCTGCGGACAGCAGGTTTTTTTTTTTTTTTTTGGTATGGATTAATAATAAAGACAAGCAATATTTTTTCAAGGGTCCTGAGTGTGAGTGTGTGTGTGCGCACCTTCAAGCCACCTATGGACTTATGGCAACCTTATAAATTTTATAGTTTTCTTACGCAAAAAGTCCTTGTAGATGGTTTTGACAGTTCCTACAGCATGTGCTGAATGTTGGACTATGACTCCAGGGTTCGATTCCTGCTCAGTCATGGAAACCCATTGGATGACCTTGGCAAGTCACAGCCTCTCAGCCTCAGGGAAGGCAATGGCAAACCTCCTCTGAGCAAATCATGCCACGGAAACCTCATGATAGGTTGGCCTTAGAGTCTCCTAAGTCGGAAATGAATTGAAGGTACACAACACACACACACACTGTTGGTACCAAGTACTACTGACTCTGCTTAGCTTCTAAACTCAGACTGGATCTAGTGATCCAGTACTGATGGATCAAACCATGCAAGCTTCTGAGTCCTACAGAACCCTTCTGCGGCTTTAACCCTTCCTCACCCTGCAGTGGGTTTCCAAACTTTGGTCTTTCAGGTGTTTTGGACTTCAACTCCCATAAGCCCCAGCCAGCTTGATCAACTGTCAGGAATTCTGGGAGCTGAAGTCCCAAATATCTGGAGGACCTAAGTGTGGGGAATCAATGTGTCCTGAAGCCCTGTCTCTTGGGGTTTTGAGCTTATTAATATATTGAAGAAATGTTCGAAATGGATCTGAAGGCACTGAAGAGTGCATTAAAATTAATTTTGCAACAATTTTTGCAAAAAAAAAAAAAAAGGTCTACTAATTCACATGCAGATAAAAATGCAGCCTTCCCCCATTTAATAAATGGGGAAAAAAAGCAAAATAGCACCCTTCATCTGGCTTCCCAGTGACATTCTCTCTTCCCAATCTGTTCCAAAAGGGAAGGGTTAAAGATTGCAGAAGCGAAGTCCAATCCTGTGCAAAATAGACTGCTTCCCAGCCAACTGCAAGCAAGCAACGTTTGGAGTTTGTTTTTTTCCCAACGTCTGACTGAGTAATTTTCCACGAAAAACAAAATGCAAGGATCTCTGCACAAGATCGCGCGCAATCCATCAGACGCCACTATGCAAGCAAGGGATCAGCTGGATCCCCACTTCCAAATTTAAACCTCTCTAGACTCTGAAGACCAGGGTTCAAATCCGTGCTATGGAAATCCTCTCATCCTCAGGGGAAAGGGACTGGCAAACCTCCTCTGAACTAATCGTGTCAAGAAAACCCCAGAATAGGGTAGCGTAGGCAAGTCACACTCTCTCAGCCTCAGGGGAAAGCATGGCAAGCCCCTTCTGAATGAGTCTTGCCAAGAAAACCCCAGAATGGTATAGTTGAGGCAAGTCACACTCTCTCAGCCTCTGGGAAAGGCAATGGCAAACCTCCTCTGACTTAATCTTGTCAAGAAAACCCCCGAGATAGGGTAATGTAGGCAATTCACACTATCTCAGCCTCAGGGAAAGGCAGTGGCAAGTCCCCTCTGAACCAATCGTGCCAAGAAACCCCCAGAATAGGGTAATGTAGGCAAGTCACACTCTCTCAGCCTCAGGGGAGGGCAGTGGCAAAGCCCCCTTTGACTATATCTTGCCAAGCAAACCCCAGGATGGGCTAGCTGGGGCAAGTCACACTCTCTCAACCACAGGGGAAGGCACTGGCAAACCTCTCCTGACCCAATCGTGCCAAGAAAACCTCAGGGCAGGGTAGCTTGGGCAAGTCACACTCTCTCAGCCTCAGGGGAAAGCAGGGAGGAAACCTCCCCCCCCCTTGAACAACTATTGCCAAGAAAACGCTATTTCCTCCAAACTTGATCAACTTTTTTTCAAACAAAACAAGCAAACAAACAAAAAAAAAAACCCACAACACTCTGCACTATGCTCAGAGGCACTCATCTCCGATTCTCTCGAGCACGGACGAAAAAAACCCTTTCAAGCCAGGATTCAATGTCTCATCTCTATTGCGAAGAAAAGAGCAGCCACAGAGAAACAAAAAAGGCAACTTGTAACTTCTTTCTTCTGCAGCTTGCAAAACAACAACCACAGATGAAGGAAACAAAAACACAAACAAAATCGCTTTAAAACCAGAAAGAAAACCAGCCTCTGAACACTTTAACACACACCCAACCCTGATCTAAAACTGCGCAACAGGAACCCAGACTTTCATTGAATTGAATTATTTTGGACTTTTTAAAAAGAATGCATGCATGAATGCTAAAATAAAGAGAATGCATGCATGCATGCATCCAAAAAATAATAATAATGCATGCATGCATGCATGCATTCAAAAATAAAAGCAATGCATGCATGCATGCATGCAAATAAAATAAAATAAAATAAACCCCAAAAGTACCTTTTCCACACTGCAAACCTCTTCCTTTCAAAGAATAATGCAAAGTGCTTCAAGGGCAGGAATCCAAAGAAATAAGATCCTCTTTGCTTTTCTGTTCTTTCCTCCTTCTTCTTTGCACGACGCGCGTTCAGACGTGCTCGCCTGACCCGGGCTTTTATAAGGCAAGCCTCCCCCTCCCTTCCGAAAGGGCTCTGCTGACACTTTGCAGAAGCTTCTCGACTTGGCCGCCGCCTCGTCCAATCGGAAGCCTTGGCTTGGGCGGCGGGGTGACGTCACAGAAGGAAGAGGGGGGGGAGGAAGCCGCTGGGGCGGGATCGAACCGCAGCACCGCCGCCTGGTGCGGACAGGAGCTGGAGTCTGGGACTTTCGAAAAAGGTGAGATGGCAGAAAGTGAAATCCTTCCCGTTATTTTGGGATGGAGCATGCAGGCGCTCCTCTTTCTCTCTTTCCTTTCTGCGGGAAACCACATAATTCTGCATTTTCCCATCTCCCCCCCCCCCCCCCCCGAAACCACATAATTCTGCAATTTTTCTATCTTTTCCCACCTGAAACCATATAATCCTACAATGACTTCCCCTTTTCACCCCCTAATTCTGTATCTTCTCCACCCGAGACCTCATAATTCTGCATTTTCCATCTTTTCCCACCTTAAACCATATAATTCTGCAACTTCTCTCTCTGAAATCACACAATTCTGCAAATTTTCTATCTTTTCCCACCTGAAACTACATAATTCTGCAATTTTTCCATCTTTTCCCACCTTAAACCATATAATTCTGCAACTTCTCTGTCTGAAATCACACAATTCTGCAAATTTTCTATCTTTTCCCACCTGAAACTACATAATTCTGCAATTTTTTCCATCTTTTCCCACAAGAAACCATATAATTCTGCAACTTCTCCACCTGAAACCACATAAGTCTGCAATTTTATTTTTTCCCACCTGAAACTACATAATTCTGCATTTTTCCATCTTTTCCCTCCTGAAACCATATAATTCTGCAACTTCTCCACCTGAAACCACATAATTCTGTAATTTTTCTATCTTTTCCCACCTGAAACTACATAATTCTGCAATTTTTCCATCTTTTCCCACCCGAAACCATATAATTCTGCAACTTCTCCACCTGAAACCACATAATCCTACATTTTTCCATCTTTCCCCGCCTGAAACTACATAATTCTGCAACTTCTGCACATAATACCACATCATTCTGCAATTTCTTCACCTTTTTTTCCTCCTGGAAGGACTTTTGCAATAAGAGCCAGGACTCCAGAAGCCATGCATAAAGATTGTGATGCCTTTCTCTATTGTTGTTGTTGTTTTTATCAGCGTAAGCACTATAATGCCTCTATTTGTAAGTATCTGTGGATAAATCTTGTGATCTCCCTTATCTATGTGCATTTGTATAATATATGGAAGCAGTGAAGAAAGAGGACTTTAAAAAAAAGGGTGGGGAAAAATAAGGTGGCAGCTTCCAGTTGAACTGAAGAAGGCAGAAGCCACAAAGGTTTGGCTTATTATTATTATTATTATTGTTATTATTATTAATTTATTACCCACCTCTCCCTATGGATTGAGGTAGGGATAACAACAATTAACAAACAAACAACATTAGTTAAAACACATCAGTTAAACATGATAAATAAGATATGCACATCCACACACAGGTATAATGTGTGTGTGTACATCTTATTTGTCCTTCTTTATACAAAAGGTATACAAATAGAACTATATGTGTCTGTGTATATAACATATATATAAACACACACACACAAATAATGTGTACTTTTATATATGTGTGTTATACACACGCACACACACAGTTCTATTTATATACCTCTTTAACAAATCATTTATATTCAAGCTAAACCCACAAGCAAAAGTTATACATGTATCTAAAGCAAGTATATACAAACAACAGTAACAAAGTGAACTTAGTTAAGCTACTAAATAAAAAAAGGACATACACTACTGACTTCCCCTCTCCCAATGATGGATATATATCGCTATTACTATTTGTTGTTGTTGTGTGCTGTCATTTGTAACTTATGGGGACCCTAAGGTGAAACTATCGTGGGGCTTTCTTGGCAAGTTTCTTTAGAGTGGGGTTGCCATTGCCATCCTCTGAGGTTGAGACAGTGTGACTGCCCAAGGTCAGTTGGTTTATAACGGTACTATATTTATGGCGACAGAGTGGTGTAGTGGTTTGAGCATTGGTCTGTGACTCTGGAGACCAGGGTTCGAATCCCATCTCTGCAATGAAACCAACTTGGTGATCTTGGGTAAGTCACAGTCTCTCAGCCTCACAGGATGGCAAAGACAAAACCATGTACCATGAAAATCCCACGATAGGGTCGCCTTAGGGTTGCCATAAGCCCAAAATGACTTCAAGGCACACAAGTGCATCCTCCTGTGATCCAGGACAAAACTTGAGAGGAGGGCTGTTGGGTTTGCTTTTTAATCACATATAATAACTACGCATAAATTGTTGCAGTGGTTTTCTGGGCAAGATTTGTGCCTCCTCTGAGACTGAGAGTGTGTGACTTGTCTAAGGTCACCCAGTAGGTTTGCATGGCTGAGATGGGATTCAAACACTGGCCTCCAGAGTTGTAGTCAGACCACTACACACTATGCGTGTTTGGTGTTTGTGTGTGTGTGTGTATTCAGTCATGATCTCTCATGGAACCCGAGATCTAGGGATCCTTGGTTGAGAAACCCTGCTCTATAAATAAATTTATTATTTTAAAAGTGTA